TGGTTTTTGCTGTTGAATAAATTACATATATTTTTATAAAACACCAATAAAAACTTAGGATGGTAAATATAAATAAATGGAATCGTCAAAACATCAGGGTATACTTAGTTTTGACGCTTACTGTATATACTTGCATACTTACATATTGACAGCTGAGTGAAAGATTGACCTATTTCGGCAGCCATTTTGAAATCGTCATATCTCAGAAAACTTTTCAAGTACACTTTATTTAAGAATTTGGTTGAAGGACGCCGTATTTCATAATTCAGTTCAGCGTAATTTCAATATATGTATTTTCAGTTGAGTTAGGGCGTTTTTAACCAAATTCTGAAATAGGGCATTTTCAATCAAATTATGAAGTAGAGCGTTGTTGAAAAGTTTTCTGAGATAGGGCGTTTTCGAACCGGCTGCCAAGATACGTCGATCGTCCACTCAGCCGTCGACACCTGGACGTGACACCTGCATGTGAAAACGTAAAGTCGGAATTTTTATGCTCTCACCCTCTAGGATTGTTCTATACCGAAAAAAATATACCCTTATTTTATTTTAAAATCAAAAAAATATTTAGAGGTCGCTCAAAACGCCCAAAGTTGTCCATGTATTTTATATGGGGGTAAAATCAAATTTCGTAGAAATCGTATATAACAGTTCAAAATCAATTTTTTTCCACCAGAAAACTCTGTTTAATTGTTTATTTAACCATTTTTTCTACTATTATTTATAGGTCCGCCAAAAACTCACAAAATTAAAATATGGTTAAATAAACAATTGGGTATTATTATTGAAAGTGTCCTGAAGATAACCAGAGTTTTCCGATCTAAAAATATCGATTTTCAAGAATTCTATACCATTTCAACGAAATATTTTAATTTTCCCTTATAAAAATATATGAACTATTGGAGCGACCTCTAAATATTTTTTGATTGCAAAATAAAAAAGTAGGGGTATTCTTTTTTACATTATAGAACAATCCTAGGGGGTGAGAGCATTCCAATTCCGACTTTGTTCTTTTTGGGCCACCCTAATGTACATTCTTTTATTTTCAACTTAACCACCATAGTAAATACTTACGTTGTGCTGCGTGTTTTAAAAGCATCCATTATGCCACCTTTTACTTAGCAGCTATGTACATATTACATACATGAACGTATAGTAAATTCTAATTTAATATCTTTTGGTTGCATTGCTGTGCAAATATCAATTGGTAATATTAATTTGCTAACTTGGCAATAATCAATTTGTTACAATGTGTGTTGAAAAAAACTACGACGAGATAGCGTTACTGGCATCTGGATGAGGTAAGTAGGAATGTCACAAAACAAAAAAAGAATTATCCATCACTCAAATTTCAGAGAGTAAGAGAAAAATCGTTCAATAGAGAAACTTGAAAATTACTGCATGTACGCAAATTTGTAGGAGTTTGTAAGTTTCCGTCACTCAAATTTCAAACTTGCAAATTTCTGCATAAACGCAAATTCGGAGGAATTCGTAAGTTTCGCTGCCACCTGACGTCCAAGCTAGTATTTGCAAAATGCAAACATGTGCCACAATTCTGCTAGCAACTTTGTGCTGGCAAAAATTCTTCCAGCGAGAATTTGGAACTTCTCCTGCAAGAGAACTGCAACTTTGGGCTCCCAATTTCTCGTTGCATGCAAATTTTCTGGTCTGAACGAACGCGACCTTACAAAAATTATTAAAATTCAAATTCGTGCAACATTTTCGCTCGACGAACTGAACTAAGACTTAGAACTCTAAATTGAGTTGGAGTGAGTGGTACTGCTATGCCAGATAGTACTTTTTTTACAGACCAGTTAGATCAGCACCAAAGTTTTAGTTACGATTTCCATCCAGAACAGAATGGAAGAAGGACCACAATGGCTCGCTCTAAGATGGACTGTAGATGAACCATGTTCCCAGTGGGGGTATTAAATATTTGTAAGGCTTTTTCGAGACGTAGTGAAAAATAAAGCATACATTTATTTTCACAGTGGTAGCATCACTTGTATCCAAGTCCAAATTGGCCCGCTATTGTACTTGAAATGAAATTAAGCTCCGCGAATCAGTTAAAGATAACAATTTTGTTGTTGTTCTTGTATCTGCATAAAAATTACCCAAAGAG